ACCACCATGCCCAGCTAATGTTTTGTATTTTTAGTAGAGATGGGGTTTCACCATGTTGACCAGGATGGTCTCGATCTCTTGACCTCGTGATCCACCCGCCTCGGCCTCCCAAAGTGCTGGGATTACAGGCTTGAGCCACCGCGCCCGGCCTATAATTTCTTAAGAGCAGACCCATAATCCAAGAAAACATTATTGTTTTAACAGAGAAAAACCAAACTTTAGTTTTGAATCAGTGATCATTGATATAAAAGTTGTCATTTGAAAGACCACCAGGATGGCTAAATAGTAGATAAGAGAGCTTTATTGACAATATCAGCTTGCACATTGAGAAGAGAAACTCTCCAGTGTGGATCAAAGGTGCCCTTTCTTTAAAGTAGTGAAGGACACAGAGAGGGGAGCATCACACACTGGGGTCCATTGAGAAGGCTAGGGGAGGGATAGTGGGTGGGAGGGGAAAATGTGGGGAGAAATATCAGGTATAAGTGATGGGGGGATGGAGGCAGCAAACCACCTTGCCATGAATGTACCTATGCAACAATCTTGAATGATCTGCACATGTACCCCAGAATGTACAGTACAATAAAAAAATAAAAAATAAATATAAAAGAAGGGAAGGACAGAATAGGTTTTATGCCTCACAGGGCCTTTATAATATATATTCAGCAGGTTTGGGGGAAAGCTATACCTATTTATGAGAGAACAGAGGGCATGCCCAGTGGGTAAACATGTGTATAACATGCATCCCATGTTCATTTTGAGGTGAGGTTTTAGCATTAAAATGACGTGGAATTCAGCTTTTTATGTCAAAAAGTGAATCGTAGTACACAAAGACAGTTTGTATGCAGCCTCTATAAGCTGGCTGAAACTGGCTTAAGTTTTGCAATAGCTAATCAGAAAAGAATATTTGTAAGGTCAATCCTCTGTCCAGTCAGAGTTGTGGTGGGTTGGGTTGTAAGTCAGCCTGATAGCTCTATTGGTAGGAAGTTTAGCTAAGGTGTAGGTTTCCTTATAGTGGTAGGAACTTGGAAATTTGCCATGCCATCTGGGTCCTGAACACTGGACTCACAAGTAACTTGTGTTTTCTTAGCCTGAGGCCCATCTTAGTTGATTAATGGGCATCCATTTGATCCCTTAGATCACAAGTCCATTAAAATCTGGCTGGGCTCAATGGCTCACGCTTGTAATCCCAGCACTTTGGGAGAAGGTGGCCGGATCTCCTGAGGTCAGGAGTTTGAGACCAGCCTGGCCAACATGGTGAAACCCTGTCTTTACTACAAATAGAAAAATTAGCCGGGCCTGGCAATGTATGCCTGTAGTCTCATCTACTCATGAGGCTGAGGCTGCAGAATTGCTTGAACTGGGAGGCAGAGGTTGCAGTGAGCCGAGATGGCATGCCACTGGACTCCCACCTGGGCAACAAAGCAAGATCCTGTCTCAAAAAGTAATAATAATAAAATAATAATCTTTTTGAAGGAACCCATTCAAATGTAGCCAGCTTTGACCAGGCAACATAAGACTTATTTTCTATAAAACTTCTACAGTTTTTCGTATCAATGCAATACAAGTTATTTCCCACTAACATTCTAAAAATGTTTCATATCCATTCAGGTTTTCTTTTATTGTTTCCCACCTCCATGCTTTAAAAAAAAAAAAAAACAACTGAGTCCGTTAACACCAGATTAATGATATTTTGCCTTGATAAAAACATACCATTCATACTTCATACCATCTATGGTTTTTCTTGGAAACAACACTTCCTACTTTCTTGCATATTTCACAGAGTTGTTTACCTTCAGCTTTATTATTTCTGAATCGTCATGTGTGCTTAGTGATGAAGATAAGTTCTTAGAAATGTGTTGTTAGACAATTTCATGATGATTGCATTGAAAGGAAAAATATAAAAATACAGTAAAATACCATAACAAAGTGTACAATAACAAATACCACTACTAGTATAAATAGGTTTGCAAACACATGATGCTGATTCTTGTTTATACAATTTAAGAGATGGGAGCTGATGCATTTGGGTGCACTAGAGAGGAATCTACTACCTTGAGCAGTCAAAGTGTCTTAGATATTAATTTTAAAACCTCATGTCGGGGGTAAATATTTAGTTAATTTGATGAGGCAGTTTAGTGGATGGTAGTAAACATTTATTCTCTAATTAGATATGTGAGAAAAGACTACATATATATTGTGTGTATGATATACACATAGGTGTTTAAAAGTCATCACCTCAGTTACTCAGGAGTTCTTTCTGGTGGTGGTGGTGGTGATGGTGTAATGCCTCAGAGGAGGATCTAGCAGGACAAAATACCAGCACCTGGAGTGGAGCCAAGGAGGAATACATGGTCCACATTAGATTTTGAACAATTTATGATTTATCATTCATAGAAATACAAAAAGCAGGTAGCTGCTATTCTTGACAATGTAAAAACATTTTCCTGCGCAATAGTCTCCCTATAAAAAACCCTATGTCTTTGTAAACTTCTTGGACACACTGCTTATGGAAGATGTGATTACAAAGCGTCATCCCAAGTAGCAAATGATGATCACCACTGTATCTTCCAAGGATAGAAGGGTCAATTAACTGCTGTATTCTTTATTTTGTTGAGCCCTATCATGAACTGGAAATGTCACTATAGGAAATATCACTCAATGGCCATATTATTTTGCTTAATAGAGGTGAAAATTATTTGAATTCCTTAGGAAATTCTAGGTTTAAGGAGAGAGTAACACAAAAATAACCGGATGGGAATCAAGATAGGAAGTAACAGAAAGAGACAGTGTCAAGAAATCTCTGATTTAATTACTTCAGTATCAAACAAGCTGGCCTCAGAACAGACAAGCAGCTTGCATCTTAGCAGGACCCATAGAGAAAAGAAATGTTTGCTATACCTCATGGGTGGGTTTTCATTCAATCTAGTCTGCTTCTCCTCCTCAAACTGATAATTGGTCACTAAGAAAAGCTCTTAAGTTAAAAAGTCCTAGTTAGGCTTGCCAAAGGTCAGATGGTTGTAGATGTGTTATGTTACTTCTGAGGTCTCTATTCTTTTCCATTGGTCTGTATCTCTGTTTTGGTACCAGTACCATATATACCATGGAATACTGTGCAGTCATAAAAAAGGATGATTTCATGTCCTTTGCAGGGACATGGATGGAGCTGGAAACCAACATTCTCAGCAACCTGACACAAGAACAGAAAACAAAACACACATGTTCTCACTAATAAGTGGATATTGAACAATGAGAACACATGGACACAGGGAGGGGAATATCACACACTGGGGCTTTTCGGGGGTTTTGTCAGGTTAAGGGAGGGATAGCGGGGGGTAGGGGGATTGGGGAGGGCTAACATTAGAAGAAATACCTAATGTAGATGATGAGGGGATGGATGCAGCAAACTGCCATGCCATGTGTATACCTATGTAGCAAACCTGCACATTCTGCATATGTACCCCAGAACTCAAAGTATAATTATATAATATATATGTATATATAGATCTCCTAGTTAGAGTTTGAAAGTATCCTTAGAGAAGTGGACAGTGGATTTCCAGGCTGTAAGGTGGTATTATCAGAAGGATTTGAGTAGCTGAGGAGTATATATACAGGAAAGAAGGGATGCCTTCATGCCTTCCCATCTCTTTCATGGATCCTTCATCTTTTAAAACTCTGAGCATTTCTAAACAGATAAATACTGATATTAGTGTGGATTATACAGTTAACTCCCATGATATCAACAACAAATTTGTTCTGTTTTAAGTCCAGGTTAGGTCTATTCATGTCATGTTTCTAATCTCTACATAAAACTAAGAATTACATGTTTAGTTTTATTTTTTGAAATTCAGTGTAGTAACTGCTGGTTGTTTCTGTGAGGGGCAAGAAAGGTAAAATATAATTAATGTTATTTATGTAAACTTTTCCACAAAATTTTACATATTGAAATTCCAAAAAAATACAAATCTGCTTGCAAAATGAACTGAGTTTGGATCCTAATTTGGCTGAAACTACTTAAGTCTTCTAACCTCAGTTTCATAATCTGAAACATATAACTATATACAAAATGGTTGTGATTAGAGATCATATGTATAAAATACTTAGCATACATTAACAAAATATATATATATGATATGTTGTTTTGCTCTGCACATGTACTGAACTAACAAGGTTTCAATAATGGCTTGGGCACAGTACTAGGAAAAGTCTATTCCAATAGAAATGTATTAGGTTGGTGCAAAAGCAATTGTGGTTTTTGTCATTAAAAGTAATGCCATTAAAAGGTTTTGCCATTACTTTTAATGGGAAAAATTACAATTGCTTTTGCAGCAACCTAGTATCTTTGGTTAAGTAGAACTTATGTAACCCATTCAGAATCAATAGCAGCAAAGTGTTAAACAACCATCCCTTTAATATACCCTTATTGACCAAAAAAAAAAGGAAAAAAAAAGGCAACAAATGATAGAAAAGATGTGGGTATGAAGCTTGCTGATAATCTGAGCTGGTGGGAATATAGGTTTGGAAATAAGCCTTCATTTGTGTAGTTAGTCTGCTTTTTATCACAATCAAATAACCTTTTCCTAACTTCTCAAAAAGTAGCTAGAAAGTTCTAATTTTCTTGAAGAACACAGTGACAATCTTTCACTTACTATCTGTAAAATGCTAAACCTCAAGCACAAAACAATTCTTTCCTTCCAGAATGTAGTCATGTAGACTACAGTGTTAATGGCATTTCTGTGACTTATTTTCAGGAGTTTAGCATTTTCATTTAGCTGATTAAAATCTGTGTGGATGATAGTTATGCCAGTTTTTAAATCATTCAAACACTCAAAAATGATTTTGAAATCTTTAAATGGCTTGTAGCAGGTTTTTATTTCTCAAAGGTTTTCTTTCTACTTATGGAAAAATTTGTTTAAATTATGCCCCTTTGTCATATTCTCAGTAAATGTTAAATCAATGTAAAATGAGTGGATTTGTATTTCTAACAATAACCTTTTTCACAGGAAGAAGAACTAAGGAAGAGTGGGGAAGCCAAATATGCCCACTTGAGTGATGAACTTCATGTATTAATTGAAGTGTTTGCTCCACCTGGGGAAGCTTATTCACGTATGAGTCATGCATTGGAAGAGATTAAGAAATTCCTGGTTCCTGTAAGTGTCTTTCATTTTTTACAAAGGTGTTTCTCATCAGCTTCTATTTTAAAATGTATCTTTGATCTTCACTGACTTTTTAAAGGAAATTTTTATTGCAAACCAATGATCTCTCCATAAGATCAATACAAAGCTATGATAAAATAGGTACCAAAACGACTTAACACAGGACCTGGTATGTTGTCACATAGTGATGGTTTAACAGCATTATTTGTCATGCTTGTGTCATTGCCATGCACCAGTTCATAGTCACGAAGAAAAAGACATGTTTATAAACAGACATATATAATTGAAGTTGTATACCTTTTTATTGCATCTTAATCACTTGAAACGTTATCATTTGCAATTTTTGATTAATAGGGAAAGAATTTCCTGTTATAGTGGAAAGGGAAAGAGATCAGATATATAATATATTTGAAAGAAGACAATGGTATCATTTAAGCATATCAAATGTGTTTTCATGTGATAGCATGCCAGGTGTTGGCACATTATAAAACATAATATAAAATAATCAATATTAGTAAAGCCGGACATGTGTTGACTTTAAGCAAAAATTGGAGAAATAAACTCATTCTACTATGTGAGATCAACACAGAATGTTCACTTAGCAGGGCAACAAATTCAGGGTTGCATGCTGAGTAGAATTCTCTACTGATTTTCTAAGAAATAGAGGAAGGTAAAATGAATGAAGCTTTCCTAAAGGTTGAAGATTTAGCATTCTAGGAAGAAGTCGTTCAAATAGAAATCTTGGCATCAGGATTAGAGCCAGGAATAAGACAATTAGAAGAGAATGCTGAGTAAAGTTTTCTGGACTGTCTGGCAGAGTCTTCAACAGAGAAAGCTAAGATAGATCTGCACAGTGAAGAAACTGTAGATTTTTAAATAAGCAATAAACTAAGAGGAAATGGTGGGTAAGAGTCATTGATTGGCAGTGATTTTGAGAATAGGAAAAGAAAAATAAAACCAGAGAACTTCAAGGATTTAAAAGCATCAAAATGTACTCACATAATCTATTTATATGTCCACTTTAAAAGTTAATTTCTGTCAAGGCAAGGCTATAGTATAATTGCAGACCATTCTGATTATTCCTTAACTTCATGTGCACTCTGCATTTCTGCACAATTTATTATCTGGTGCTCATCAGAACATCTCCCTAATTAGATCTCATACTTCTTAAGAATGAGGATACTATGTTTTCTTTTCCTTTTGCCTCCAAACTAAATTCCTAGTGCTGTATTGAGTAAGGAATTTTATTGTATTTAGATCAGACCAGACTTCTAGTAATATACATAGTATAGGATGACACTAGGACTGTATACTACCAACACACTTTGTGACTACAGAAAGGTCATTTAAATTTTCAAAGCTTCAGTTTATTCATCTTTAAAATAAAGATAATTATAATTGACTATCCTCTATCTCAGTTATGGTGAATATTAAATGGGATAATGCATCTGAAGGGACTTAGAAAATTTTAAAGCACAATATTGATGGATGTTTTACTTATATTGTTACAGCAAATATAATAGAAATATCTACGAATGACTTTCTACATAGTCATCCATTGGTACACACACACACACACACACACACACACACACACACACATATAGTATTGGTATATATATCTATATTGGGTCATATAACTCAATATATAATATAGGCTAGGTTAACACTCTTTTATTAGAAATGTCAATAATACATCTCATTTGCTCACTTCCTAGTCATAATGATTCTTGTAATCATTTCATCTGTATACACTCCACTGAAATATATAGTGTATGAGGTTAGGGTTGGTGGTATCTCTCTTGGTCAACACTGTATCCCCGTCTTAGCATCATGCCTAGCACAATAAATATTTATTTGATCATTTCACTGATGGAATGATGGAATAGCTAACTATAGGCATGAAGAGTGATGTAGGAGATAAAATAGTTATCCAGGTAAAATTCGGGGGCCAGTACCCCACCATCAAGATGTACCATATATACAGATCCAGATGAAAAATGAAAATATTACCATGGCTGGTGTGACCTGGCCATTCTACCCCTACCTCTGTGATTTTATCTCTATATGTCTAACTTCTTATTCATCACACTTCAGACATGCTGGTTTTTTTCATCCAACAATCCAGGCTCACTGCTCGCAAAGTGCCTTTGAAGATTATGCTCCAGAATGTTGGCATGGCTGTTTCCCAAGCATTCAGCTGTCTGCTGAAATATTAGCTTTGTAGAAAATTCTTCCCCAACCACACAATCTAAAGTAGCTGCCCCCTTTACCTTCTATCTACGGTTGTACTATATTTTGATCTTAGTATCACTGACCACTCTATTTTTCCATTATGCCCTATAATTCATTTTTCCATTATGCCCTAGTCCTTTTCACTAATTTATTTTCCTCATGACTCCTATCACTTTCAGATATTTTATATCTATGTGTGTGTGTGTGTGTGTGTGTGTGTGTGTGTGTGTGTCCTGCTTATTGTTGGTTTCTATGCTAGAATACGTCATGAGGGCTATTCTGATAAGTCATAAATTTATCCCATTTGCCTTGCTTGCATTAGCAGAAAGCAAAGGATGGGATCTATTTTAACCATCACCAGAACCAAAAGAAGCAAAAATGAACTACCAGTATTTTTATTCTATGAAATCAATTGGTGATCTCAGTTTCTGTTGACATTTGATATTAAAGCCCACAGAAGTGCTAATGTGTCTATACATTAACATTTGCAAACATTGTAGATACCAGTAAGAGGCATGCTAGAACAGCAAAGAAGCCTAATATGGGACAAGACTCTGGAATTCCACTGACATCTTGTTCTTCTACAAAGGGAGTGATTGTCCATCGTAGAACTTATTACCTTCCATTCCTCTTGTGTGTTATCCAAAATTTACTCAACCTGCTCTACATCCAAAGGGGATAATTATCTAAGACAACCAACTTCAGAACAGAGAACTCCTTGTGAACTGTCTGAATATTATAACATATTGGAAAAGAAACCAGTTTCAGCATTTTAAGTGGATTGCTGAAGATAAAAGAATTATTATTGGCCTGGGGAAAATTTACAGCCTGTTGGCCTCCATTCACACGCTGTAGTCTTATAAAAACAAATAGAGTGTCAAGAGTCAATAAAATACCTTTAATTTGAACATTGCTAATTTTAAATGTCTAGTACTTTGGGGAGGTGAAATGTTAAAGTTTTCATTATATATGATTATTTATCTTAAAAATACAGGTTAGAATTTTAAAATAAATTATCTGATGAGTAATGAAAAACAGGATATAAAATCCTAAACTAATATGTGCTTCAATTATGTCGATGCATTCCTCTTCCCTTTATATTCTATAAAGAGGTAAACAAATATTGCCACTATTATATTTTATACTATTTCTTTCTTTTAGATTCAGACAATAGGATTGCCACATATGGTTGTGAGAATTGTGTCTTGGGCAACTCTAGGGGGTGACATTTACAACATAGTTTGTGAATGGTACTCCCTAAGACCATGATTACAGCTTCCCTTTTTCTAATCCTTCTCAGTAGGTTTCTTCAAAATAATGACACTGTTTTATTTTCCTAAATTGGTTTATTCTTACCTTAAATTAAATTGAATTAATAAGTTTTAGTAATGCTTAATTAACTCCTGATCGAAACACAATACATTGTCTCGTAATTAGAAATTATGAAATGTTCGTGAAATTCTGCTCACTGTATGTTTATATATTCTTTCATTAAAAAGATGAAAGGAGGAGTTTTTGAACAGATAATTTGATTAGGTCATGGATAACAAATAGATTGCTTTTTTACCTCTTCCAATAACTATATTATAGACATAGTTAAGAGACTGTCATGCTCTTTTCTACCTTGGCCCATTATGGCCTAGAATCTTCCCAACACAGCATTCTGCACAGCATTACAGTATTAGCAGAACTGACAGAACTTGATAAATGTTTGTCATACCAGGCTTAATTATTTAATGATTATCACTACAGGTCTGTGTAATTTAAAGAAAAGATATGTATAACGTTTATACTTAGGTAAAAATATGTGTATATGTGTAGTGTGTATCTGTTACCAGACTCACATACAAGATTTTAAGTCAACTTAACACAGAAAAAATATATAGATCATTCCAGGTTCTTTCTTTCCTGAGATAGTTAGATTTGTGTTTTGGTGACAGCTGTGATTCTTGAAATGGGGCAATTAGGGCCTATTATTTCCTTTCAAGTTTGAGATACTGGTAACACATCTAGAAAACGTACCAAGAGTCTGACTATGGAGGAAAAGTAAAATCTTTTCTTATGGCAAAAGCAAATGGGGAATTTTCTTGCCTCCCTTCTTCAAACACTGTAATCCTAGACCTGAAATTGGAAAATGACACTGATTACTAACAGCAGTCACACTGGAAAATAAGTAGATATAAAGAAAAATAGAAAAGGGAAGCAGGTTATTTTCAGTCTAGGAGATAGATCTCAAGTTTTGTGGACTAAAATTTTTTTATAAAGTTTTATAATATGATAAATATAAAATTTGTCCCTGAAATTGATGCTGTAATTTGAGGAAAAAGTGAAAATCTGATGAGCCTTTTTTTTTTTATTGAGATAGAGTCTCACTCTCACCTAGGCTAGAGTGCAGTAGCATGATCTCAGCTCACTGCAACCTCCTCCTCCTAGGTTCAAGTGATTCTCCTGCTTCAGACTCCAGAGTAGCTGAGATTACAGGCGCATGCCAACATGCACAGCTAATTCTTGTAAATTTAGTAGAAACGGGCTTTTGCCGTATTGGCCAGGCTGGTCTTGAACTCCTGACTTCAGGTGATCCAACCTGCCTCAGCCTCCAAAAATGCTGGGATAACAGGCATTAGCCACCACACCCACTGATCACTCTTTTATGCAGGTGAATATATAGGGAAAAAAATGTATTCAACTAAACCCCACGAGCCAGCAAAAGTAACATTAATAAATCCTGAAAGGTGAGAGATGAAGATATAGTTTGGCTG